GCTTTTATACATACATATATGAGCTATGAGAATAGTCAACGATCCCAAGCTCACAGGCGGTATCGAGCCCTTAAGTCTTAGGCAAGACTTTGCCTCCCTTGTGTGTTCTACCGATTTTATAACGGATTGTATTCTGAGAAATTATTTAAAATGATGCTCACAACCACTTTTTATCATCGCACCTCTCGCCATCGTCAGGAAATTCAATCGAAATGGTCACATACTCGTATAGTGCGATTTCGAAGGATTTTTTCCCGCAAACGTATAAGCTGTGGAATGAGCTCCCTGTCGAGGTTTTCCCTAGATACCATAGTATGGGATTCTTCAAAAAGGATGTATTAAGGTTTCTTTAGGGTTGGCGACATGCACGTGATACTCCTAATGTTGCAGGCATTAATAACTACTAGGCGTTTTCCGTTTACCAACCGACGGGCTGTATGCTTGTTTGCATAAAAAAAACAAGATTTTCTTTCGTCTTGTTCTTATACCAATTTTGATATTTTTATTTTAATGTAACAACCGCCAGTTTAACTTACGTGTAATTAGATAGGAAAATCTGAACTAGTTTCGGGAACAATTCGTGATCTTTAGTCATGAGAGACTGTGGCACGATCACGAGCGCGACTTATATTAAAATATAATGTATGCTTATGAAACTTTTAACAATAAAATTTTATTATTATTATATTATATTCTTTATTGCACTCGTAAATTACATTGTTAATGCATTTATAAATATTGTGAACAAGAGTGAACTTATCTCTGACAGAGATCTCTTCCGGTCAACCCAATGCAGTTAGAAAACATTTTGTCAACGGGTAGCTGAAGTGCTACAACTATTAATATTTAGAGTACATAAACAAATATACAGTTAAATAAAATATTAGGATACATAATAAAATATTACATAAATACATATACTATGAATAAATATAATACCTACCTACTTATACAATGGATGTTAAAATAAATGAATATACCACTTACAATAAAAATTTAGTTGAATGATTTTAAAGTTTGACAGTTCAGTTTTTATATGTAGATCGAAATTAATTTTTGACAATATTTAAATTATCGACTATACATATTTATATATTTCTTTTACATCTACTATAGTTACGTATAAGCAGTTTTTAAAAGTATCATCAACTGATAGTAACGTATAAATTTTCTTCTGTAAATTTTGAAGGCTGGTAAATAGAAAAGATAAATTTGAATTTCGAAATCTCAAACCCAACAACAAAAGTCAGCCAGCACGGCCCCTTTCTTTAAGGAAGACCAGAAATTTCACCCACGGGGATGATTGCGAGGGGATGTTATAGCTCTTTTGTAGAGGCTTTTTAAAGTAATTGACCATCGAATCGTTTTAAACCGTTGCCATCTTGTTGCGACTTAAAAATGAATGGAGTTCAATTTATTTTGAAGGATACTCCAACATTGTAGAACTGATGTTTTATTTAGCTATTGAAGTTTGTTTTCTAATTTGTAAAATTCTTTCGCTCTTTATTTTAAACTGTATAATACACCTATACAATTTGAGAAAAAAATATTACTTACCAGAGGGAGACTTTGTACAAAAGTCGATTGCTTGGACACCTCTGTTCCATCCGTGTTAGAAACACCTTACCAAAGTTGTTAAGGTGACACCTTACCAAGTCCTTAGGAATGGCAACGCATGGAGGGTATCATGGGTGAAACAGTATACTCTGTTATGTCCACGGTACTGCTCATGTCTATAGGCGACAGTTACCACTTTCCATCAGGTGGGCCGCAACCTTGTTTGCCATTCTAAGTAGTATAAAAAAACTCATTTCGGAACTTTAATGTTTCTCCCGCGAAGCAGCTTTGCTTTCAGGGCAGCGTTTCGGTTTAAGAATAGTGAAAATTCAGAGAACAGTGGTATAATAACTCAGTTCTCAATCCTCAGTCTTCTCTGTCATTTATGGAGGTTATCACATTGTATTCTCGATGTCTCGGTTCTGTTCTTGTATGACGGTTACCATTTCTCATCAAAGAAAAAAATATTATTAATAATTGGATCTAATAGCTCTATTGCTAGCAATATACCCTATCAGGTCGACCTACACACGGTTTCCCCTGGAATTGCAGTTCATCATATCAATCTTTAACTGTCCACTGCTAAACATAAGTCTCCCCCTTGGGGGTTTTGCCAGTAGTTGCCACGCTTGGCAGGCGGATCGGTAACCGCAGTTAGACTTTGGAGAGGTTTTAAGACGGATGCGGTTGCCCATCCCTCGCCCTCCTTTAGTCGACTCTTACGACACCCACGGGAAAGGAACGCGTAGCCTGTTTTATGTAGTGACCATACGGAATTGTGGTTAATTCTTGTGAATTTGTCACGATGGATTAACCGACCTGCTTTTATCCTCACCTCTCACTGGTGCCCCACCAGCGTTCACTGCTGTTTACTGTTCTAAATATAAAAAACGACATCTTTTTTTACTTAAAAAGCTATATTTTTAACCGAACTGTTTACTTATTCTGTAAGAATTTTGTTATCGCCTATTCAAAGTAAATAAAGTGTTCCGATCTATTCTAACTTTATAGTTTGGTAAGCAAATTCACCTCAGAAGTTACTAAGTACTTTAAAGTATATTTCATAAAAATATTATTTGGAATAATAATGAAAAAAGTATTTTTTGAATTACAAAAAAAATATTTATTTATATGTGTATCATTTATCTGTTTATCAATGATTTTTAAAAATTTAATTTTAAAATAAATAAATGTAAAAAAAAATGACATCACAGTATCGACCATACTCATGTACATCTTATTATGTCAATAAAATAATATAAAAAGTACAGTCATGAATTAAAATAACTAAACATAATAAATCTTGAGTCCTCAAGCATGGCAACGCATGGGGGGTATCATGGGCGAAACAGTATATTCTGTTATGTCCATGGTACTGCTCATGTCTATAGGCGACGGTTATCACTTTCCATCAGGTGGGCCGTCAATTGTCATTCTAAGTTGCATAAAAAAACATGCACACCTGCAATACCCCTTGTATTGTGGGTGATCATGGGCGGCGATAGTCACTTACCATCAGGTGAGCCGCATGCTCGTTTGCCCCCTGTGTTGTAATAATAATGATAATACCTTCTGAATACGAAAACGCCATAACCATTATATATATATTATTAATATTGCACAGTGACAGTCAAGGTTTTCCTTATGTGTCAGACATTTAATTAGCTTTTACTTTGCTAACATAAATAGAATGCTGACATCTGCTTCACAAGCGAAGGATATAGATATACCATAACGGTAATTAGGTGGCATTTACTCTAAGTAAATAGAATAAAGTCCGTATGGTGCATGGCATAGAATAGGCTTCTTCTCCCGTGGGTGTCGTAAGAGGCGACTAAGGAAACTTAATGGTCGAAGGATCGACAGCAGCATCTGTCTTAAAACACCACCAAAGTCTAACTGCAGTTTGCGGTAATTACTGGCCTACCTTCTAACCTAACCTAACCTATCTTCAGCAATGGATGTTCTAACATAAAGCTAGCTTTTAAACACAAATTGCGTACCTATTTCATAGAAAAATCACTTTCTGTTTAAGCTTCTTCTGCTGGTTACTCTGTTTGAGTCATAGATTACTATTTATAATGGAAAACAAGCTAACGGCCCACCTGATGGAAAGTGGTAACCAACGCCTATAGACATGAGCAGTACCATGGACATAACAGAGTATACTGTTTCACCCATGAAACCCCTCATGCGTTGCCATTCCTGAGGACTCAGATGTTATTCCTCTGTACCCTGTAAATTTACGCCATATCCCACCCTTCAAACCGAAACACAGCCATGCAAACACAACTGCTTCACGGTTGAAACACGAATGGGACAGAGGTACCTAAGCAAACGACTTTTGTACAAAGTCTCCCTCTGGTATTTGCTCTTTTATTGCAGTTGTTAATTGTTTTATGTAGTTATATTTAATGTATGTATATATTTATTTATTTAATATTTTATATGTATGTTTATATTATATGAATATATCAATTATTGCTTTATTTTTTTTCTCTATTCAAAAATGCACCGCCCACGTATTTCTCGGTTTGCCCAATGGTTGACTGGTAGAGAACACCGTCCGGTGTTAAGTCCGCCAAATGTACATAGAATTTTACTGTGCATTAAAGTTTAAATAAATAAATAAATATCTGCAGTTAATATTCTTTACTTGATTTAAACTTTATAATACCTATACGAGATATCTGCATACGTCTACCATGAAACAAGATTTTTATTTTATTTCTTTGTAAGAGCGAGCAGCAAGACTTCAACTATGATTACAATTTTTATCTCATGCAAATAGTCCAGGTATATACTAGTGTTGGCTTAATTACTGCTTGCCACGGCTTGCATTCATTATTTTAAAAGACAAGGAATATTTTAAAATTTATTTACTTTTGTTAAACAACATGGAAAATGCCGCGCCGCGTCCTGTGGTCTCTTGTGCCAATGAGGTTAATTTTATGTCAATATTTTTTTTCTATATAAAAACAGAATATTAATAAAAAGTTAAAATAGGTCTCTTTTAAAAATCAAACTGTGTACAACAAAATTTTCCACCATTGAATTATCGCTCAATACTTAATAAATAAACGGTCAAATCGAGAGTCGCCTTTTCTTAAGTCGGTTAATAATAATATTCCCCTTATTCCGTCTACATTTTGAATGAACAATTTAACAGGAAAACTCTCCCGTGCAACTCCCAAGACGAAACATTTTATTAAATAGCAACGTAAAGTTACCTCCATATCTATCTTACTCATTTCCTAAAACTTTTTAATTCCTTAAAAGCTAATACGGACATTTGGAAATGCTAAACTTAATGTACAAGTTTGTTCGCCAGATGGCAGTGTCCGCGAAACTGAGCTAGGGGTGGCTCTATCGATAGAGACAGACAAAAGCTTGGTAGGTACTATGTTTCCTGTGCTTATACTAAGTTAGTCTTGCATCGTTTGCCGCACGATCCGGTCGCGTACGGTCGCGAACTCGAATTCCGAATATATCGACGACTAAGTAATCATCGGGGATGTTTTGTGTTTGTGAAATACTTTACAGTGGCTGAGGGAATATTTTGCTCGTATTGTCACGATTTATAAAGGTAAGTAAGGCTGTGTTTTATTTGTGTAGGATAACTGTATTAGTATTTGTTTGTGATGAATGTTATTTTACATTTTTCGCGATGCATAAGTAAATGTTTGTTTTGCTGGGGTTGAATGTGTTCATTTTGGGGGATTTTTTGATTAACAAGTTAACAATAAATGTTAATTGTTTATATAAAGAAAACAGAGTAGATTTTATTTAGTTTTCTATAACAAAAATTATCGAAAAAAAATTTGTTGATTTACATCTTCTTAGAACGCATTTAACGTATTCGGTAATATAGGTCTTGTAAATTTAATACTTCTATACATAACATTATAAACATGAAATAAATAATACAAAATTTTGATATTCCTATGAACTAATTTTCAATTTTTGTCTCTATCTTCAAGTTTTTTTGTTTAAAAATGTAAATTAAGTGAAGCCATACAAATGTGCATTATTACTATAGTTACATGAAATGCATATTAGAGTTTTCTTTCTTTACACTGAGAAAGTGGTAAACAAGCATATAGACTGTCTAATAGTAAAGGGTCACTGTAGCCTATAGACGCTTGCAGCACCAAGATTGTCACGTGCGCGTTGCCGACCTTGAAGAAATATATCTAGTATAATTTTATTTTTTGCAAAAAAAGAAGTAAAGAGTCATTGTAGCCTATGGACGCTTACAGGACCAAGATTTTTACGTGCACATTGACGAATCTGAATAAGTTAAGCTTCTATAATCTAATCTAGTCTAAATAGGAAGTTTAGTCTCACAAGAAATATTTTGCATGTATATTATATAAGGGTTGTGAAAGCATATGAAGTATGAGACGTAAATATATTAGATTTTCTTCTCCGGTCCTTGACTCTCAAAGACCGAAGTTAGTCGATTATTAGGTAGGGAGATCCCTACCTATCTAATTAACCTGATATGAACGTTATATTACCGATTTTAACTTATACGATAATTATTTGGTGGGACGTAATACAGAGAGTGGTTAGGCATATTAGGTATAGGATATAGTCAATGTTGTTGAAATCTACTCATACACTTAGTCATGTTTATACATAATAATATATATATAAACAGCTTTGTGTTTTTACATATTAACAATGAGCTAATTGAAAAATTTGTAAGGTATCAAACTATTTGCTAAAATAATTAAATTTAGATGTAAACGATTAGAAAATTAGATTAAACTATATAAATATTTGGGACATCAGTAACGTTAATTTGTTATAGTATTTACTAAAATATTTACATAAGAGTAAAAAAAATAGTAATTCAGAAAGAATAATAATAACCGTTTTAGAAGCATACGGCGAGCATGTCATCTTGCTAATATAATAAAATTGTAGCCAGATGACGTCTGTGCATGGAAGATTTTGGATCTTAATAAGATGTTAAAATAATATTTTTTATAAATTTAGTCTATATGTATGTCTGTATATTTGTTACGGAATTACACAATAACTGCTGCACAGAATTAAATTAAATTGTATCCCTGAAGATCTAGCTTAGAAACTGATGTTTACTGATGATGTATTTTCCCTGGATACGCCATTTAGAAATGGTTTTTCCATTACTGATTTCCAGGATTATGTAGTAAAGGGGAAAAAGAAAAAGCGATGCATATACATAAAAAACAGACGAATTAAGAATTTTTCCTTCAGGTATTCAGTTTAATTATTAAAGAACCTACTTGCAAAATTTCAGGACTATAGATTCATTCTCTTTTATCAATACATTAAATACGATTTGTAACTGTTCGCTGTCTGTACATGGAAGATATATAAGAAAAATAATTATTAAGGGACTCAATAGAACCAAAAACTAAAAGAATTTTTATCTGTTTGTCTGTATGTTTGCGCATGCTAGTCTCAGAAACCGCTTAAACAATTTGAACGTGATTTTCACTAATGCGTTGCACTTTACTTCACTTAACATTTAATATTTATTTTATTTCAATCGATTGATAAATAAAAAAAGTTACATGAAATCAATCAATCTAAAGAATCACACATAAAATGTTATAAAATAACCGATCAGTTGTATTGGCTGAAACTTTATGAAGGTATTAGGTACGTGATTATCATTTAAATATTATATTACAATATAAGATCGGATTCATAAAGAGTTTCAATTGAGTCAATATACATATTACGGAAACTACATAGAAGCGGGAAACGCCGCGGGAAACTACTGGTATATATCTATAGATTATTTTTAAATAATTTACTATGTATACATGATTAGTTGTAAAGGTATAAAACATGCCATACCATCCAGTGATGATTTTTCTTTTTTCCTCAAAGAACAAATTCGAAAATTCAAAATATTTATTTAAATTTCCATACAGGCCACGCGGGTCGACTACGCAGCGATGAACGATTTAGTATGAGAAGTTGAACAAAATATTTTTAGAATGTAGCAATTCCTTTTAGGGCAAGTTGTTTACATTAATTCTGTTGTTGTGTTTCGATTTGGGCTTCTCCTCTTTGCGATTAATACTTATTTATTTATTCTTTACTGTATTGTATTGTAAAATCTTTATTGTACATAATTTACATTGGACATTAAAAGATTTAATGGCGGACTTATTGCATAAAGGGATCTCTTACAGTCAACCTTTGAGAAGCTGAAAGAAAACTATAGAATATTCAAGGGTAAAAACTGCACAGCTAAATATAAACTCAATAATTATCTAGTTAAATCTGTACATATAATACAATAAGAAATAACTGTATACGCCTACATGTGTTAATAATAATAATACATAAAAAGTAAAATAAAATTACTACATAAATACATAATAATACACCTACACACATAAATATTTTAATTGAACAATAAAATTTGTACAAATGGCGACCCGAATGTCATATGACATTCTCTACCAACTAAGCATTAGGTAAAAATCGAAAGTGTTTGAGGGTAGTGGTAGCGAAAAAACATTATTTAAAAAAATTAATTAATCTATTTAAATAAATTACTTATTTATTATATTACATTATGGGATAAGCAGGGAGAGATTAACATCCAAAGGTTGCCTAGAAGAGATCGCTCTTAGCGATAAGGTCGCCCATTGTTTTCTCATTGTGATTATTTCTTGTAATTGTTTACATTTATAATAAGTTTACTATTGTAATCTTTTGGAGGAAACAATAAAGAGTATGTATCTATCTATCTAATTCTCTAATCTTATTGTACGTATAATTTCTTATGTAATCCCATCGCTGCTGCTGAATGTTGCAGTAATATACATATAATTAACGCCATGTGGCTTCGGCATAGAATGGGCCATCACTTTATTTCCCGTGGATTTCGTAAGAGATGACTAAGAGAAATTAATGATCGAGAGATGGGTACAAGCGTGTTCCTTAAAACACCACCAAACCCTAACTATGGTTGCCAACCCTCTTGCCAAGTGTGGTATAATGTAGTGAGTAGTTAATATGATGATGTTAATGATCTATAAAATGGTGTATACATGATTATTTACTATTTAATTAAAAAATCATTATAATCTTATTATATATGCCAATATATTTTACAAGATACCTATAGCTTCGCCCCCGATTGTATTGAGACATCGAATAGCCTTTCTTAAGAAGCAAGCTAACAAATGCATAAACAATTTTAACCTATTTTCATATCTTTTTTAAAAAACTCCATGCTGTAGTCTCTTGGAAAAACCTCGACAGGAAGTTTATTACATAACCTGAGCGTTCGTGTGAGGAAATATCTCTGAAACCGCGCTGTACGCGACCATCTAGGCTCTAAGGTATAAGGGTGAACTCCCTTTCAATGGTGAGCTGTACGACGGTAGAAGGTAGACATGGGTATCATACTGAACAATTCCTCTGAGTACAGTCCGTTGTATAAGCGGTAAAACACGCAGAGTGAGATAAAGTGCTTTCTAACAAAATTATTTATTAAGTACAAAATACTATATTGAATTACAAATGGAACAAGTCATATGTCTGACGGCTTTACCATGTACTGCTGTTATCGATACATATATAAGTAAAATTTCAAAATATGAACACTGCCATATCGCACCCTTCAAATCGAAACACTGCCATGCAAATAAAACTGCTTCACGGTAGAAACACGAATGGGACAGAGGTACGCAATTAAACAACTTTTGTACAAAGTCTCCCTCTGGTGTCTGACATTTCCAATTTTATAACTTGAATTTAACATAATGTTGTCTTTATTATTGTTATTTATTTTATAAACTTAAAAATTATAAATATAAATATGACTTGCCTTTATGTGACGGAAAATTGTTAAATATGCCGCAAGCGTCTACAGCTCGCGTTCAGGGGCCAAGGCACGCAGTCAGGTTCGTGCTCGCGTCACTGTCGCTCATGATTAAGGGTCACGAGTTGATTCCGAAACTAGTTGAGCTTTTTCATTCTAATTACACTTAATTTAAACTGGTAGTTATTATATTTAAATATAATGTATGTTTACTAATCTTTTAATAATAAAAAACTGTCAAAATTACATTGGTTAATATAAATATGAACTATTTGTATACCAAAATGACCCATTCGTGTTTCAACCGCGAAACAGTTGTGTTTGCATGGCTGCGTTTCGGTTTGATGGGTGGGATAAGGCAGTGAATTTACAGAATACAGAGAAATAACACTTGAGTCCTCAGGAATGACAACGCATGGGGGGTATCATGGGCGAAACAGTTATATGTTATGTCCATGGTACTGCTCATGTCTATATGCGACGGTTACCACTTTCCATTAGGTAGGCAGTCAGCTTGTTTGCCATTCTAATTTGCATAAAAAAATATTACCGTTGAGCGTTTAAGGCGCTAAGTAGTAACAAACAAACAGATTCCCTTTTCCATTTCTAATATAAGTATAGATAGATAGAAGACAAGCATTCAATCCGTTGGTAAGCGGTTATTATAGTAAACGGACCCCTGTAATGCCAGGGGTATTGCGTTCCCGTTGCCGACTTTGGGGAAATCCTTTAACACCATTCCTTTA